GGCAGTGGACCAATATCGAAAATCAGCAAGCGCCCACCATTTTCATCGCCATGTCTTGGAGAAATGCCGACTTGACAATAGCCATTGACAAATCTTTAATATTAACAGTAGCCTACTTGAAGAGGAAATATATATAAGTGGGAAGTTTATGGGCCGACAACCAACTGAGGTCATCGCCGGCCCTCTGCGTTTTTTCCATCTTTTTCTTTTCTTTCGCGCATATTTTGTTTTAAACTGCAGCCATTTGAGCGTCTCGATCTGGTTACTGACTCTCTGGTTTCAAATATATACTACGTTGATATTCTAGAATGCTAGTCTTTCGTTAGTACCTCAGATTGTCAAATACAGAATAAAAACAAGAGATACAATACATATATATACATCATCACAAACATAGATGTCTGGTCACACAGAGTACTTGATATTCCTCGGGCGGGGTTATAAGCAACCCCTTTCTTTCACGCTAATAAATTACTTTTACTCTCCAGACGTCATACACTCACCCCAGAGTACTAGATATCCCTCGGGGTGGTGTTATAAGCAACCCCTACCTTTCATTCTAATAAATTACTTTTACTCTCCAGACGTCATACACTCACCCCAGAGTACTCGATATCCCTCGGGGTGGTGTTATAAGCAACCCCTTTCTTTCACGCTAATAAATTACTTTTACTCTCCAGACGTCATACACTCACCCCAGAGTACTCGATATCCCTCGGGGTGGTGTTATAAGCAACCCCTTTCTTTCACGCTAATAAATTACTTTTACTCTCCAGACGTCATACACTCACCCCAGAGTACTTGATATTCCTCGGGGCGGGGTTATAAGCAACCACTTTCTTTCACGCTAATGAATTACATTCATTCCGATAAATTAACACAAAACACAACACTCGATAGAAACATAGAGGTCTGGTCATTTTTACTCCCCCAGAGTACTCGATATTCCTCGGGGCGGGGTTGAACCCTCTCCACTGTCGCTAATAACTTACTTTTACTCTCTAGACGTCACACACTCACCCCAGAGTACTCGATATTCCTCCGGGCGGGGTTAAATCACCCCTTGCTTTCATGCTAATAAATTACATTCATTTCAATAAATCAACATAAAGTCAAACACAAACACAACACAAACACATAAAACTATATACATTTAAAAATCCCTATAGCCCTGAGGTACCGGAACAGCGATCTGTGCCCGCTGTCGTGCTTCAAGATTGCGCACAGGTCCGATGATATGCCAAAATATTGTCTATATACATGAAGGCTTCTGCACTTGAAGAGGTGCTCGACTGTTATTCTATCCCTACATAACGGGCACCTACACGGTCGCTTTCCGGCCAGATGGTGCTCGTGCGTTATTCTCGTATGACCTATGCGTGGTCTTGTTAGTATGGCCTTTTCCCTTTTCGAACCGTTCTCCGTGGACCAGGGACCGACTTCTTTCTTAACCTGCCACAGTTTAGCAGGGTTAATTCTATTTTTTCGAGCCCAGCGGTTTTCCCATTCTTTTTTTACTGAGTTTGAAATAAGTAGTTTTAGGTCCGCTGGGCTTTTGAGGAGGAAAGTCCGCCGAATGGTAGAAATCCCTCCGTCCTAAACTCTTCCAGGTTTATTTTGGGTGTGGAGGTATTATATCTTCATTATGCCTAGAGTCAACCTAATAAATGCTGATGTGATCGAGCTAAGCATCAAGACCTTCTTCTACCTCAGATCCTCTCGGGACTCCGAACTAGATACATACTTCAATAGAACTTATTGTGGGTCCTTTAAGGAATGGATATATTCCGTCTTTTAAGGTTTGATTAACCCCCTTGAGGTCGGTGATCTGCCTCAAAATCAAAGGAATTTTGATTTGAAATAAAATATGAACACAATTGCAGAGGGACATCTCTATTTTGTTTCTTTTGAAACAAAAATGTATTTCCTTATGAATCAAGATACGTTATATAAAAAATATAAAACAAAACATGAATCTTTGCTTACAAACTAACAATAAAAGAATAATTAGATATTATGGGAATAATATGGGCCTGAGGTTCAAAATTAAAATAATCAACCTTGATAACCAACCAAAATGGAAAATACCAAACAAAAAAGCCATAAATGAAAATGGGCCACACAACAGAAATAATTTATATTAATAAAAATTTGACTGGCTTTCAGCTGGATTTTTTCTTATTGTTTTTCTTCCAATGCCTAGGCTAGACTGAACTATCCGTTGTCGCTTTCCTGCCTCCAGCATGGAGAGGAAAGCCTGGACATAATTTGTTTTTATAAACTTTTGTATTGAATGTGTAAAAGTTTGTAAATTTATGTTAAATGTGTTTTTTAAAACGTTAGTTTCTCGCATCGAAACTATAACTTAAGTCTGGTCACATTCACTTTCCCAGAGTAGTCGAACCTACTCCATTCTCGCTAATAACTTTAACTCTCCAAGCGTCATACACTCACCCCGAAGTACTAAATATTCCTCGATGGGGGGTTATAAGCAACCCCTTCCTTTCACGCTAATAAATTACATTCATTTGAATAAATTAACACAAACACAACACAGATATTAACACAAAATACACTCAGACGCATGTGCCGAGGTGTTACGTATCATGAACATTTTCTCTTGCGGAGAGTCAGTAGTCAGTTTATGTGGCATGGCAGATCTGGATCGGGGAATCGTCTTTGAAATCTTTTCTTCCTTTCCAAATCCAGTATCGTGAAATCATTTTTCATTGTCATCCGGCTTTTGTTGTCGCTTCCGTTCTTTTCTTTTCGTATTCTTCTTCTTCTTTTTTTTTGTACTCCGACTCAAATGGTTGCATTGTCCACACTTGGGTGTGTTGGGTGACACTGCTTTCTTTACCAACTCCAACGGATCTTGAGAAAATAACGCCAAGCTTGGCTTATGTCCCCGACGTCACCGGATATCGATGACGTTTTGATTATTACTTTCTGTAGCAGTTAAGTTTCAGGTCAGACAGCGTTCGTACCCTAGTAGTATCTCCCCCTTCCTTAAACCTTAAACTATAGAAAAAAAAGAAATTATTGCAGGGGAAGAGTTGTTACAGAAATGAAAGTTAAGGTTACTAAGGGGTTACAATGTTACGGGTGGTTACCTGTTACGGGAGGGGTACATGGGCGCAGTTTAACCTCTTACCTGGAGGAATATGGCATAATAACTTAGAAGTATGAACGGTTCAATCATAAATAACATTATGCTTAAGTCCAATAGAGTTCGTGGTCCGATTGACCAAATAACATTTTTCAATTAATTAAGATTTATTTGAGGTATTGGCCGAGATAAAAAAAGTCAGTGTCACGAGCAGGATTCGAACACAGACCTTCGCCTAGATACGCCGCTGCTCTACCACTTGAGCTATCGTGACTTACCTTCACGATTCAGATGGGACTTACCTTCAGATGGGAATTTGGTGTCCGAATGAATTGAAGTCACGATAGCTTAAGTAGTAGAACAGCGGCGTATTTAGCCGAAGGTCGTGGGTTCGAATATCGCTCGTGACACTGAGTTTTTATCTCAACCAATACCTTCCATAAATATCAATATGCTTGATCTTACTATGTTAGCTATTATGTTTAAGTGTTACTATAAAATCTCTTTTTCGATCAAGAAAAACGGAATGGCGTGCAAAATCACCATTGCCTGGGAGTTGATTAGAAATTTTATCTTCGTCTCATTCCTTTAATTTTTCCTCAGAGGGACAGTAAGTTTTAATCGGTTTAGCCAAGTTTTAAGATGATCGAATGCGATTACACCATAGTAGAGATCAAATGGTTTTTTTATTCGATCCGCTCAGAATAATTATTTATATTAGTCGAAGAAGAAATATGGCGGTTATTTTGCCGCAAACTTAAACGCAATCTACGTTTAGAATAACATAAGGAAATTTTACGAGTTGTATTTTTTATTTTATCTCACTGAGATAAGTTTCTGATAAGTAGCTATGCAGTTGTATTGCGTTTTCTCTAGTTTAAATTATTACTTAAACGCCTCCACCCAACACAGACTCCCTGACCTTAATAACAAACCGTCACTATGACATACATTGTGTAAGCTTTCTCCTCTCATTGTCAACATTATCGACCTTACCAACAAATTACTGAGATGAAACAGTACTTGATGTGTCGCAGGTTTAACAAATAATGAGCACTGATTACTGTTAATGAAGAGCATTTAATATATGCAACTTTGAAACTGTGCTTGAATCATCACGGTAATAAGCATGTTACGCTAACCCACATAAGTAAACAAGCCTCGTGTAAAGCTTATTAAAATTAGTTATTCAGATATCGTGAGATGCGGTCGGGTAGGTGTAGGTTTCAGAAAAACATTTTCTTTATCGTGCCAACGTTTCGATCTTTTATTGAGATCATCTTCAGGGCCTGGGATTTACAAACAATGTTTACATTTAACAAATACATTTAGGATGTGGAAAAGTGAATTTATACAATGAAAAATATATTTTATATTCAAACAAAGTATTTCTACTCACTCAAAGTGTTTGTCTTCTGTGTAATTGTGCCATCCTTGTGTGTCGTGTTGAGAGCGCCAGTGAGATTTTGCTGTTTTATGTTTGTATATGTTTGGTTTTGAAGGGGTGGGGAAGGAAGTCGGTATATAAAAGACAATTTTGTGTTAGGCGTCGGCTTCTTTGAAGTGAACCCCAAGTTAATTTCGGCTAGTAATCGCGGGGTGGGAATATCATAAACTTCTCATGTAGCTGGGAAATGACACTAACTTTGTAATTGAAAAAAAGATTCCAGAGTGTTATTGTACAGTTCGATTCTAGAGCTTATTTTAAGCAAAGTGTTGAAAGACAGGGGAAGATATATAGATAGATAGGGGGAGAGAGTGATTACACGCTTACGTCCAAGAGAAAGAAGAGAGAGAGACAGAGAGAGAAAGAGTAAAAGAGAGATAATCTTGACAAACAAAATAGTTTATTTTCAAATTGTGCTTTGTAAGGCTAAAAGGTAGCAAAAAATTGTATTTTATTGGTATCTTTTATTGTCAACTACATTAAATATAACTGTCGCATTATTAACTTACACCAAAAGCTTTTAAAGTAATAGAAAAAATGTATTTACATTAACTTTGCTATTGAGTAATCGTTATTTTCGACATTTTAAGATATCCACGACAAGGGCATAAGAAAAGCCCTTTTCTTTTCATCTCTATAGGATATTTAGCTTTTTCTCCTGGTGATATGGAAAATTGCTCCAGGATTTTCGCCAATCCCAGTTTGATTTCCATCATGGCAAACCTCATTCCTTAAAATAAAATCATTTATTTATGAGAGAAAAAAAAATCAATTTATTCAGTGAAGCATGAAACTACCTATGCACAATCTCGGACCCTCTCCGAAGGGTAAATACGCTAAATTCTTAATTGACTCGTTCGGTCTGAATCTGTCCGGATCGAATTTTTCCGGGTTCGGGAAGTAAGCTGGGTCGTTTTGAATTCCCTGGAGTGATACGAAGATTTGCGTCCCATTTTCTATAGTTAAACGATCATTGACGACATAATCTTTGACGCAGTATCTCATCAAGAATGGTACCACCGGATATTTTCTGAGTGTTTCTGAAAAAAAAAAATGATTCAAGATCTTTGGCAAAAGAATTTTAATTTTTTACATATATTCAAATAAATTATGAGATTTGTAGAGAGTATATATTTATTAATATGTACTGAGATGCAAAAAAAAGTTGCCACCCTCGTTTTTTCCCACAGAAAATACTTGAAATCGTTGTAATTATTATTTTTTGTTGTTTCCGGATATTTTTAAAGAAAAATATAAGATATAGCTAAGTAAAAAAATTAAAATTAGTAAAAAATTTGACCAAAAATTAATTAAAGTTTTTAGTTAAGATAAAAAAGTCAGTGTCACGAGCGGGATTCGAACTCACGATCTTTGGCTAGATACTCCGCTGCTCTACCACTTGAGCTATCGTGACTTCGATCTACTCGGACACTAACTTCCCATCTCAACCCCACCTTTTGAATTTTCCTTCCTTTTTGGCATTTTTCAAATGTCGTGTGATCTATTTGATTCTCGGCGACCAATGAAATGGCTACGGAGAGCTTTAGTGAAGGTATACTTCATTTTAACTTACTAAATTTACTAGTTTTCTTGGTTCCCTTGACCTTAATTAATTGAAAGATATTAATTGGTCAAGCGGACCACGAAAACTAGTGATTTTACCAAAAATGTTGCTATGGAAAGAATTAAGTACGGAGTATTAAATCCTCTTGCGTTGACCATTGCTTCCTTTCAGCGTGGCTCAGATTTTAAGAGGTTTTAATGTAATTTTGCGGAAAATTTTCATGGCATTCAAAATTATTATTATTTAATTAAATATTTTCATACTCTTCTAACAGCTTCATTCTTATTTCCTGCAAATTCTCCGGCATCACGGAGCTTTTAAAGTTTTTGACAACTCGTGTTCGATAGGGTTTATGTCGGGACTGCATGGCCCATACATTGAATTGAAGCCTGTTCCAAGTACGATCCTGGCTGTACAGGGCCTTGTATTGTCATGTATAAAAATAAAACAGCCAATTAGTGGAATGCAAGGAACATATCTTCAATGCTTCGCGTAGCGGTTAGGGAACTGTCGTTGAAATCAGATGAAGACCTTTCACAGAAATGCTTGCCCAAACCATAACACTACCTCCTCAATAGTTTCTCCTGAACGAAAATATTGCGGGGATTTATCGCTCTCCTGGACTTCTCCCAACCCTCAGAAGACCTCATAAAAACTTTGACTTTAAGAAAACAGACTAATTTAGCCCATTCTTACTCAGACTAATTGGTGTGATTCGTTCTAAATTTTAATCGAGTTATTCTGTGCCTTGTTAGAAGTACTTGACCAGTAGCAGGACTCGCACGTAATCCAGCTTCAGAAAGTCTTCGCCTTACAGTGCGTAACCTGATTGACGACATTGAACAACTCGTTGAAGGACCTGCATAATCTCAACAGCAGTAGAATATCGATTACAAAGTACATTCGATACAATAAAACTTTTTGAGATGTGACCCGTTGGCGACATACTTTCTTGTGTAACCTCCAGTATCTTACCGATGGAAGACCTTTCGGACAGTTGTTCTGGGAAGGTTAAGCACCCTCGGCAGATAGGCTTGACTACTTCCATCTTCAAACAATGCTACGATTCTAGACGATCACATAAAACCTGGTGTAGTGCTGAACGGCAGGGGAAAGGTAGAGATAGATAGATAGAGAGAGAGAGAGAGAGAAAACAAAGAGAGAGAGAAAAAAGAGAGAGAGAGAAAGAGAGAGAGAGAAAAAAAGAGAGACAGAAAATAGAGAAAGAGAGAGAGCGAAAGAGAAAGAGAGAGAGAAAGGGAGAGAGAAAGGGAGAGAGAAAGATAAACTTGACAAACAAAATACTTTGGTATTTCTAATTTGCTTTCTTAGGCTAAAAGATAGTAAAAAATTGTATTTTGTTGGAATCTTTTATTGTAATAGCCGAACACTTAAAACCATTATTCAAACAAATCTGCAACTTAAAAACGATACGACTAAAAAAAACTGAACCACCGCGATATTAGAAAGAAGCCTTAGAAAGAAACCAACAAACAACAGATTGATTTAAAGAGATTTAAGGATTTATTGACAAAATCCATTTGTAAACACAAGAAGGAGTTTTATCTGTGTTTTATTTGCATCTAATCTTTTAAAATGGGCCAAATATTGTTGTAAGATTCAGGATAGTCTAAGAGAAAATAAAAAAAATGTCAACGGTGGCCACTTAGTTTTCCATCTCAGTGTAGATACATATATATATTTTTTTATATTTATAATATGATAAATAGATCCAAAAGAAGAACTAAACATGGGTTTAAGATACAAAGGATGCCAATTCCGCCGTTTATTAATTCAAATTTTTGGTGTCCTTTTTTTCAAATAACACAATCTATTAGAAAAGTGTGGCGTTTAGTGACCGTTAGCCAATGATTATTTGGAGATCGTGAGTTGCGGTCTGGAGTGGTTTTAGAAGAATGTTTTCTTTATCATGCCAATGTTTCGATCTTTATTGAGATCATCTTCAGGGCTTGGGATTTACAAACATTGTTTGAATTTTACTAATACATGTAGGTTGTGAAGAACAAAGAATGAATTTATACAATGCTAGAAACTTTAGATAAAAAAATGAATTTATACAATGCTAAATTTTTTTAGATTTAATCAGAGTGTATGTACTCACTCAAACTGAATCTAAAATTTTCTAGCATTGTATAAATTCATTTATTTAATGTAACATTTTCTAGCATTGTATAAGTTCATTTTTTAATCTAAAATTTTCTAGCATTGTATAAATTCATTTTTTTATCTAAAATTTTCTAGCATTGTATAAATTCATTTTTTATCTAAAATTTTCTAGCATTGTATAAATTAATTTTTTTTATCTAAAATTTTCTAGCATTGGATAAGTTCATTTTTTATCTAAAATTTTCTAGCATTGTATAAATTCATTTTTTTTATCTAAAATTTTCTAGCATTGGATAAATTCATTTTTTTATCTAACATTTTCTAGCGTTATATAAATTCATTTTTTCCACATTCTACACGTATTTGTAAAATTCAAACAATGTTTATAAATCCCAGGCCTGAAGATGATCTCAATGAAGGTCGAAACGTTGGCACGGTAAATAAAATATTTTTCTAAAACCTACCTCACACGAGATCGCACCTCACGATCTCCAAATAACTATTAGAAAATTATAACCAATGTTCTTACCAAATTATTGCTATTGTAGAATTACAATAGAAAAAATAACTTAGACAGAAATATAATATAAAATATATGCTTTAGATTTTACCTTGTATGCACTGTTCTAAGTAAACCATTTCTTTTAATGAATTGTAAACGTAGCCTCCATATTTTGCCTTGACTTCTTTTATTTCTTTTCGAAGTTTAACCTGAATGTCTTCGCATCGAGCCACTTCAATCAGGAACATCAGCATTGTGTTGTAAATCGGTTCGAAACCGCCTGTCAGGAATTGAAAAGCCTGAGCGCTCAGAATGTCATCTGTAACCTCTGAAAATATGAATAATTTGTGTTTAATTGACAACAATAAACAAACGAGGTATATGTTATAATTACCAACGTTTTCGATGTGTACATCTTCGGTTTTTAAGTAATCATCGTCTGGGTCTTTTACTTTCACTTCGAGGTTTCCAGATTCTTTTAAATTTAAAAGAAGCTGTACATAATCATTTCGATGGGTGTTGTTTGCTTTTCTTTGTTCGAATGTTTGCTTTATGATATCTTTAAAAAACTCTTCCATTTTTCGTTCTACAATCTTCAAGTTTAACATTTTTGTTAATCGTGGAAATTTTGACAAGATGGAATATATAAACAACCTAATCGTCGACGAATCGAAAAGTTGTGAAAATGTTTTTTTGTATTTCTCTCTTAGTTCTTTATTTCTGAGTTCAATTCCGAATATGACGGAAGCCGAAACATCCATGGCGTATGTCATGATGTCGTCTCTGATATCATAATCAGGATTTTCACATGTTTTTCCGATATTATGCAACAAAGCGTCGCAACACGGCTCCATCTCGACGAACATAGATTTCAGCTTACCGGTGGTAAACGTGGGTGACAGTTTTGCCCGAAACCCTCTCCATTCGTTGCCCGTCAGGCTGAACAGTCCTAAATTAATCAATGTGCCTTTGTCAGATTTATACTCTCCATGATCAACAAAATATTGGAAATCGTTAATCGCGATTTTTTTTACAAACTCCGGATCTCTTGCCATTAGCATGGTCTTGTTGAGATTTTCCACAGCCACGAATTTATGGTTCGGGAATTCTTTGTATTGGTTGTACCAAGTTTCGAGTATAGGCTGATTTTTAATTAGCTGAAGAAGTCCACTCAAAAAGTATTCTGCTTTACAAAAACCCACTTCTTTTTCTTTCCAATACAGTTCTTTTCTTTTTAACCTGATGTATCGATAGACAAGCATGGATAACATGATTGCCACCAAAGTCCATGTTATCGCCTCCATGATTCTACAAAAGTAAAAACCAAATTATTACAAATTAAATCGCTTATTGAAGTAATATTTTTTTTTTTTGAGGGTTGGCAACAGCAGAGGTTATATCAACCCTCCGGGTGCCGGTGTTTTGGAAAAAAAAGCCCATTTGTAAGTACATCGGGTTCGAATTCAGGGCCGATGGATTCGAACCCGGGACCTTTACCTTACCGTGAGTGTCAACGCCTAAACCGTTGCGGCCACCAACGCCCCTAAATTATTTATTTCACACAGTTCCTCACTAAAGATGGCGTGAAGCCAAAACTTCTATAAGTGAAACGTCAACAAACGAGAGTAGACAGAGTCACAAAAGTGATCAGTTAAGATCTGTATTTTCCTATCGCACCATAAAAAGCACCATTCACTTTTAGAATAAAATTAAGGGCTCAAAAAAAATTCTAGAGTTATTATTAATCCCATTGTATTTAGGTCTGATTGACCAAATTGAAAAATGGCAAAAGGAGGGAAAATTCGAAAGTTTGTAAGTGATGAGGAGTTGGTGTCCGAGTGGATCGAACTTTTTCATTTCAACCAAAACATTACATAAAACCGTTGGTTATTATTAATGTTGAAGTTAGTTCAGTGTTTTTAAATATTGATATTAAACTTTCAAGAAATAGGTAGGTTGAAAACTAAACCTCAAACAAAATTTCGTTTTTATTCAAGCAATTATTCTGTATTTCTGTATAAATAAAAAAGCAAAGTTTTTGGCAAGACTGTTGTAATACTGAACTGTTGTAATAAATTTATTAATTTATTGCTTTTTGTATTAAATTTATACAGTTTATAAAAAAAACAGCAAACACTTTTTATAGCTCTTTCCATATTTGTCAATTGTTTTCTTTTCTATACAAGGTGTGCTGTTTAGATAGCCCGGATGAATTTCTACTGAACAGATAACGTTATCGAAAACCGAAAAATACGTGTTTAATATTTTTTAGTTTGGTTTTAATTATTTTACGGCTTTTTGAAAATCTGTCAAGAATCATCACACTTTTCACTTTGGAATTTTAAATGAGGACGTATACTTTTTACAATTGGTCAAAGAATAAACAAAGTTACGTCACAAAGTGTGAAACAATGCCCTTTTTAACAACAAGCCCAGATTTTTTTAATTAAAACTAGCAGACAAATTACTTGTTAAAAATAATACAAAATATACACGAAATTAAGATATATCTTTTGACATTTTGTTCCATACGTTTTCTATTCTTTGATCAATTTAAAATCTGATTGCACCATCGTTTCTGTGTGTATTTAAAATAATGCGAAAAAGATATATGCTCTTATTTACTTCAAAGTTGACTTGCTTTGAAGTATCATGAAAACAAACATTAAAAAGCAGTAACATTTTAAAAATAGACTAAAAAATATTACGTACATATTTTTTTTTGTTAACGGTTATCTGTTGAAGAGAAATTCCTGGCCATTGAAAAATGACACCCTATACAAAAACCAGATAATGTGATTTTATTTTCTGCAGTTGCAAACCCTCGTAAAACTTAATAATCAGCGTATTATTTAAACTCTAGGAAATATTTTATCATAATTTTTGTTTGTTGTAAAAACCTTTGTATGATGATTATTATTTGTTTTGTGTCTGATCATTTTTTCAGTTTTACGAATCGTTTAATTTTTATTATTGGTAGGCTTTTTAACGTGTTTTAAAAAAATATTGCTTAAATATAAAACGTTTCGAAATTCTTTTTGCATTCTGAAATACAGTGTATTATTCCTGGAAATTTATTATTTTTACTTATTGTTAATTTTATTAGTAATATTTACTTTTACTGTTGAAAATAGGGCAATTGAAGCGTGGTATGCAAAATGGTATAAATGCCTTTTCGTGGTTAGCAAGGACGCAACAACACTAGTCCTGTTACTACAAAAATTAACTTTTCCGCTTGTCAGATTTTTTTCAGTCAGATAATATGGTGAATACAATATGGTTACTTTTTGGCCAATTTTAATAATTCTAATTGAAGAAACAAAATTTGAAAGCAGAAATTGTGTAACTATTTAAATAAATTGTTTAGAAACAATGTTTTATAAATATTCATAAAAACTAGAAAAAAAGGTAAATTTCTAACATGGATAGCCGTTTTTGTATTTTATATCATTAGTATGCCATTAAATCATGGTTTCTAAAAATTACAAAAATATTGTGAAATTAATTGTAAGAGTTGCAAAATGGAATAAATTAGTGAAACGAATAATTTAGGAAACAAGATTAAATGGCGTATCAATGATATAAAATTAAAAAAAGAAAATCATCCTATCTTTTCATAGTAAATATAAAAAACACCACATTTTTGGTTTAGACAATAAAAAATGTTCCACAGAAAAAAACAGATATAGACAAAAGAAGAATTTTCTATGAGGAAATTAAAAAAAACCTTGCCAATTTTTTACGTTTTAGAACGAACTTGCAAATAATGCAAAAAGAAAGAAAATAATGAAAAAATTAAATATTAAAAAATAACAGTAGTAAATGACGTAATTAAAAAATAATAAACAGACACCACATAAAACAGTTGCAAAATTCTAACTTTAAAAATGTTTAAATATTAATAATAAAATAATGATAAAATGTATCATTAATAATGTTAAAATTAAAAAATAATGATAAAATTAAAAAATAAGATTAAGTAAAAATAAAATATTTTTTTCTGGAAATAAAACATTTGTACTTCAGAATATCACCTGATGCCGAAACGTAAATTCAGAAAATATTAAAAAAAAAAATTAAAAAAGACCTAAAAATAACAAATATTTTACTTCATATTAATTTACTTAACAAATTAATTGGTCAAGCGGACCCCGAAAATTAGTGAATTTAACGAAGTGTTGTGAAAGTTATTAACTGTTCCTAAAAAAATTATGAGGAAAATTAACTCACAACTCGACAACATGTTTAGAAAATTCTTCTTTTCCAAAATACATATATAAATTATATGGTGATAACGGAATGCCCCTTGGAAGGTGCAACACTCTGACAATAAAATTTATTAAAAAAATTCAGGTAGGCAACTTGCATAAAATGCAATCGAAATTCGATATAAACAATAATCTTTGCATTTACATAAATTGTATATAAATATAGATGATAATCAATACTTTACTTATTTCAATGTAAAATTTGTATTATTCTGAAGTAGAGAGTGTCATTTGCTGAAATGGCATGTAAATGATTGTTTTTCATTAATTACGTTCTCTACATACCTGATCAATGTTGATGTCCAATTACAATTGATACATAACAGTGGAAACTGGCACAATTTACGGAAGACCTATATAATAATATTCCTTCGTTGTTGAACAATAGAGACTAGCCCGTTTGTTTCGGTTTCGAATGTAGGAGAGGACGTTGGAAGGGAGAATTTCAAGGATGACTCTAAGGATGACATCTTTTCAAAATTAAACTTTTATAACCTAGGGTGACTGCACAGATTTATCAGCGTACGTGAATCATCTCAACTAGTGCTCAAACCGTGTCCATAAATTATTAAAGCCAATTTTTAATTCAAGAAGTAAACACACTTCTCGTAAAGTTCGATGTTTAATTTTCTAGTCAGATTAGTAAAAATGATATTAGAAAACTTGATAATTTGTTAAATTGTCAACAACAAGTAGTTCGTTACGGATAATATCCGCCTGCCGTATGTCGTTAAGAAGAAAAAGAAGAGATAAATAAAATAATAATAAAAACAATAATGATTATTTATGTTTAGAAAAACATGTTTTTTTATCGTGCCTACGCTTCGATCTTTAATGAGATCATCTTCAGTGCCTGGGATTTATAAACATTGTTTAAATTATACAAATGCATGTAAGTTGTGAATATGAATTTATACAATGATGTATAAATAGAAATTTTAGGTTTAATCAAAGTTTTTGAACTCACTCAAAGTGTGTGTTTTCTTTGTAGATGTGTCAGGATTGTGTGTCCTTTTCAGAGTGTTAGTGAAATATTAATTTTTTATATGTTTGATTTGAAGGAGTGGAGAAGGAAGTAGGGATAGAAATCCATTTTTCTATGAGGAGTCGGCTTTTTTGAGGTGAAAGGGACCGAAAATGTAAAAAAGGGTTATGGTTTGTCGTTCGGGCGTAGTTAGCCTTTCAGGATTATTATTGACGGGATTTTTAGGGAAAGGAGAGAAAAATATTTGGGGATTTGGACTATATAGATTTGTTTTATGTGGAAATGGTGAATGATTGAGTGAGTGCGGTGTTCAATCCTTTTTTAACAAACGATATTTCTTACTTGTAGTAAGTTGTTTTTCAACGATCCGGATTTCGAGCCCTTAGCTAATAATCAGGTCGAAAGACGCTTTTGCGAATAATGTCGAGAGCGTAGTTGTAGAAATCCTTCAACCTGATGATGTGCTAAGGGCTCGAAATCGGGATCGTTGGAAAACAACTTTCTGTGAGTAGAATCCATCTCTTTTAAAAAGGGATTGTGAGATATGTGGAGTGTCATAATTGTTTTATATGTTTTGTGTGTTATATGTATGTTATTTATGTTGAATATGATTTATGATATTAGCGTAGCTGCGGCTGAGTTTACATGTGTCTGTTCTATAATTGATGCTGCGTTCATGCCTGTTGATGAAAACCATTTCTAAAAAGTTACGTTTATGCTTGTTCTGTTTTTTATATTTTTGAATTGTTGAAATCGAAATTGTGCTAGTGTTTAACATGGTGAGTAGCCAGTGCTGTAGGGTTTTGTTTGGGTTTTTTGCAATCATAGATATGTTGTTTTAGGCCCTGAAGATGATCTCAATAAAGATCGAAACGTTAGCACGATAAAAAAAAATGTCCCGCATCTCGCGATCTCTAAATAATCATTAATTAACGGTCACTAAATGCTACAGAATAATAATAATAATGAAGAAACATAACTTAATTATTTTTTACTTTTTTTACGAGGGTTCGCAACAGCAGAGGTCATATCAACCCTCGGGGTTTTTGGTGGTGTTTTTTGAAAAAAAAAGCCCATTTGTAAGTATGTCGCGTTCGAATGCAGGGCCGCTGGATTCGAACCCGGGACCTTTACCTTACAGTGATGAGCGCCGTATCACCGCCTAAACCGTTGCGGCCGCCGATGCCCCCAAGTGGAGTAATTACCTTATTATTTAAGGTTATTAGTAATTAATTCCCATAAAAGCTCATATCTATATGCGTATGACAGCTTGAATAGTTTAGGGATGGTTATGGATGGTAATGGGGGGGGGGAGAAAAATAAAGAGAGTAAGAAACAGCCAAAATGAAGAATGAAATGATGATTGAAAGAGAAAAATTCGAAAAAGTTCATCTATTAACAAAAGAAATAAACCAAAAAATTAATCTAATTGGAAAACATATTAATTTGGAAGGAATAACTTAAGCATTCAAAAAATTATTTAAATATCCATAAAAACCTTAAATTTAGTAGGTGAAGAGAAGCTAAATTAACTCTCATCAAAAATAGAAAATAATAGGGAGTAAGAAACAGCCAGAATATTGAAAGATAATTCAAAAAAGTCCATCTATTAACAAAAGAAATAAACCAAAAATATTAATCGAATTGGAACGCACATTACTTTGGAAGAAATAACTTAAGCATTAAAAATGCCGGTATTTTTGAAAAAAAAGAAGCCCATTTGTAAGTTTGTCGGGTTCGAATCCAGGGCCGCTGGATTCGAACCCGGGACCTTTACCATACAGTGATGAGCGCCGTGCCAACGCGTTGCGGTCACCGACGCCCCCCGTTCTACTAAGAAGAAACTAGACAAAACATAAAAGTTTACATATCAACGGAGTTTTTAAAAAAAAGTTCTAAAAAATATGGGGGAACAGAAGTTTAACTTTATTTATCTATCTTCATGCTCATACCTATTAACATACCTGTATTTCAATCTGTCTGTTCGTTTATCTATTCATATGCGTAATTATTTTATTTGTTTCTTTATTTCTTATTTCTTTCATGTTCTTTCAAGTGTGTTTATAATTTTTTAATTTCTTTAACTTTGTTCATTTTAATTCAGTAAATACTCTCATAACAAAAACTCATATATGTCACGATATATCATCAAGCAATATCAACTACGATTTAACGAAACAATTTAATTTGTAGGGGGAAGGCGGTCCAGGTTCTCATGAAAAAAATGAATATATATTATATCAAAAGCAATTTCGAAGGAAGGATTGAAATCTTTTGAAATCGAAGTTGAACCAGTAGATTAAAAAACATCAAGTCGACAAGTCCGAACACCCAATCATTTTTATTTTCAATGAGTTTGATATTATAATTTGAAACGTATTTTCATATGAACGAGACCAATTGAAAGTTGTAGAAATTTAATTTTTTAAAGCCTTTAGTTTAAACTGTTTATCACATTATTCGGAAAGCTTTTCATTTATATAGTAAGCATCTTCAGCCCTTATCCTATACATAATTTAATAGAGTGCCAAATATATCAATTTTGAAAATTTGTGTACTAATGTTTACCTAATCTTATACTTTACATCATCTAATGAATTGAATGAAATAATTACATTTACGTAAAATTATATTGATAAATGATTCCTAAATGGAGAGACAGGAGTATTAAATAAATTGCAATATCAAAAAACCAACAAAAACCAAATACGATTTATTAATTTTTTTAAATTTTTTGTTTCAGGGGTATAGCGACCTTCAGCCTCATCCCAGGTGAGTGATAATCCATTTATGATTTTGGGTACTCATTCCGTAAGACAGGACACTTCTTCCAACATTCTGGTCCTTGATCCACTTTAGTCTGATCGTCAAAGATTCTTCTGTTTCTTACCCCCCCCTTGTTATGTTGTTTTCTCCGTCGTGGAGAGCGATCAAGGATGATGTAATTTAGAAAAAAACCTTTTTCATTTTTTTTTGCGCCGATGTTTCGAATGTCATCTTCAGGGCATAAAGTGAGTGTAGTGCTATTATTGTGTCATATTGTTCTTATTTTAGTTAATTCAACCCAACAATTTCACACAAAACCAATACGACACCACAAGAATTTGCACCACATATTATGCCCCGAAGATGACCCGAATAAATGTCGAAACGTCGGCAAAAAAATTAAAAAGGTGTTTTTCTACGCTCTCTCAATCTTGACCGCACCTCACGGATCCAACATTTTACAGCACAAGGTAATGTTGATAGTATAATCAAATAGAAAATTCTTTGTAACAAAAAAATTTATTTGGAAATATTTTTTATTCATTTTAATTCGTTTAGTCGTCCATGTTTTTTTATATTTTGCTTTTGCTTTATTCACCTGCAACGATATAGCAAACCAAACCTTTTATTTCGCTAAACCCTATCTGCACCAACTTAAACGTTCTGACTCCTTATGTGCCCTCCAGGCCTTGGAAGATCCGTTTTCCTACTGCCCCATCGTACAAGGTATCTTTTTTTTTTTACGAGGGATCGCAACAGCAAAGGGCATATAAACCCTCAGGGTGCTGGTGTTTTTGAAAAAATGAATAAAATGAATGCAGGGCCGCTGGATTCGAACCCGGGACCTTTCCCTTTCAGTGATGAGCGCCGTGTCAAAGTCTAAACCGTTGCGGCCACTGACGCACCCTCCAAGGTATCTTTATGTATCCTCTTTTTCGACGGAACATAAAAGTTCTTTGGAGTCAGTTCCTGGGCACTCTGGCATAATAGGAAATGAATTAGCTGACAAGGCTTCCAAGGAAGCCATGAAAAACGGGTTAGAAATCAGAGAAACATCCAGGGAGGATATGACTTACTATTTAAGAACGCTAGTAGGCCATAAGTGGGAATACTTCTGATCCGACGTTCCGAGGGAAATAAAGCTTCCAATTCACGATAGACCAGCAGTGTATTGACCGGAAGGTCGTGGGTTTGAATCCCGCTCGTGACACTACATTTCATCCCAACCAAAACCTTAGATAAAAATAATAATTAGTTAAAATTTTAAAATAATTTATGAGACAAAATTTCAAGTAGGAAAGAATTGACAATTTCAGTGTCAAAATTAAATTCTTATCAAATTAACAATAGGTACTTATTTCAGGAAAATTTGATTGGCGGCCATAATTATTTGACATACATTCGCACACACGCATTTTTTTTCAATTCACGCAAATTTCGAGCTAGTCAACTTTGCTCTATCCTGCGACGGACTTCGGTTACCTAAACTTACCTTAAGTCCGGGAAATGGCTCGCAGTTTCCAAAGCCCACGTACAGCGAAATCGGCAGAGTGCGCTGTGATGAAAGCATGGGGGAAATTAAAATAAAGAAAAGTAAAATGAAAAGCCAAAGCAAAACAAAACCTTCTTGACCAAAAATAAATTTATTACTTCAATGGTAAAATTTATACAAACTAAAAATAAATAGGCCTCAAACTTTCTTGTGGCAATTAATAATTAATAATTGAGCGAACGGAGGAGCTTAATCGGTGGAGACAAAAAGCACTTACGGTTTAACCAGTTAGAAAAGCTAGGATCAGTCCGCTGCAGAGATCAGGAGCCGAGTTCTTATTCACTCCAAATTTAAATTCACCTACCTTCTGTGATGGAAGGGGGCATTTGTCCCACCCGGGGGCGCTGACACACGGAGCGGTTTTGCTAGGTTGTGACACATGCTGCGGTATGATGTGCGTTTTGGCTGAAGCGGTTTTGTTTTCTCTCAGTTATTAAATGTATCCTACAGCAGTGCATATAAGCATTGAACGTCGCAAGGAGTTATTTTGCAGTTTGTATAATAAGTCCTGTTTAATAAATATATTGTTCTGTAACTGTATGTAACTTCGTGTATAAGTTACAGCCTTACAGACCATTCCCCCCATGCAGTACTTTTTTTTCTTTGATGAACATTCCATGGAACTCGCTACAAAGTGAAATCTCACAGTCATCTACACACTACGTCTCATTCGGTTTTATTTTCTCTATAAGTTCTGAAAAATAGTTTTAAAAATAAATATTTAAGTTAATCTATATTTAGATGGGATCTCGAGTAGCCGAATAAGCGTGTCAGACTCTCGGCTTAGATCCTGCAGTTGTAGGTTCGATTCCNACCAGAAGTATCTCTTCATCCATGGGAACTCCATGGGGAATGGGCCAATGCCAGTTCAGTAAGATTAATAAATAATAGAATTTTAGCTAATTCTCAACTTCCTGAAACCTAGAGCTTTACATATTGATACTTAACCATCACTAAAAATGGGGGAAAAAATCTAAGTATTTACAGATTGGACGGTGCTGTACAGTAACAACCGTTTTTAAAACGAACTCACCTTCCTCTAGGGCCTCTTTTAACTTTACAACTACTTGAAAGTACATCAACCTATAATTAAATGATTTCTACAGCTTTACAAAGTACGAAGTATGCGTATGACTGTCGGTGATACATGGTAGTAACTAGTTTAATAAAGATTTTGTTTTGAATATTATCTGGAGGAGGAAGGGGACCTCGTTCAAATCCCAGCTCTGTGCCTTTTAAATTATAGTATGAAAAATGAAAAGTAGTTTAAACCTTCCTTGACTCTGAACAGAAATTACTTTACTTTTATTGATCAGAGAGGATTGATTTTTTTTTGTTGTTGGGGGGGAGCGAAACGGGAATCGAACCTAAACTGCAGGATCTAAGCCGAGTGTCTGACACACTTATTCGGCTACTCGAGATCCCATCTAAATATAGATTAACTTAAATATTTATTTTTAAAACTATTTTTCAAAACTTATAGAGAAAAGAAAACCGAATGAGACGTAGTGTGTAGATGACTGTGAGATTTCACTTTGTAGCCAGTTCCATGGTATGTTCATTAAAGAAAAAAAAGTACTGCATGGGGGGAATGGTCTGTAAGGCTGTAACTTATACACGAAGTTACATACAGTTACAGAACAATATATTTATTAAACAGGACTTATTATACAAACTGCAAAATAACTCCTTGCGACGTTCAATGCTTATATGCACTGCTGTAGGATACATTTAATAACTGAGAGAAAACAAAACAAGGGTCAAGCTATCTATGGACATTAAGATATTGCCAGTAAATTGATTGTTATTAAACATGACAATATTTAAAAACATTTAAAAAAGAGCGTTTTAAAAAACCCTCAAAATGCTCGCGCTTTTTTAAAGCATTTCGCTTCTCTTTCAGTGGATTGCTGAAAAGTATGTCCATGCTGGACAAATCTACTGCTTTTTCTTTTTTTTTTCTTTTTTCGTAACTTACGTTCCCTTTGGACACTTCCGGATAAGAACGCGAGTACTTGTCTCTTAAGCCTTCTTTCCCAAGTTCGGATTTCTGGTGTTAACATTTCCAACCAACGGCGCTTGTTTTTGGAACAGTTTTTCTTCAGTTGAAATGACTTAACGAGTTGCTATAACCCCTACACATTTTTTGTACAATATTATTTTGATAAGGAACAAGTAATTAATATTTTTGTGTGTTGAACGCTTGAATATTGTTTTACATGAAAACAGTAATGATAAATAAAGAATAAACAGAAGAATTTTTAATTATTGATTATAGTAACAAAGGTATTGATAAAGAGTTTATATATATATAAACACATTATTGTTGCATATTTGCTATCTTGGACATCTTTAGGTAACCATGTCGAGGGGATATGAACATACTTCTATTATTCATTTCCAAAGGGTATGTAGCTTTCTCTCCTGGCGATATAAAGAAATTCTCGATGATTTTCGCCAATCCCAGTTTCATTTCCATCAGGGCAAACCTCATTGCTTAAAAAACAAACATTTATAAGAATTTTTTTAAAGAATATAAATATATATCATTTACCTATGCAAACCCGAGGACCTGCCCCGAATGGTAAATACGCTATATTTTTAAATGCTTCATCAGGCTTGAACCTGTCGGGATCGTATTTTTCAGGATCTGGGAAGTAATTCGGGTCTTTGTGAATTCCCTCAAGTGATGCGCCGACATGCGTCCCTTTTTTTATTGTTAAATGATCATTGACGACATAATCTTTGACGCAGTATCTAAGTAAGAATGGTATAACTGGGTATTTCCTTAATGTTTCTGAAAATAAAACAGATTGTTAACTTTGAGTAACAGTATTACTTTAAACTTTAACAAATGGATGCATTTAAGTGCATAGGAACATTTTTCCCGAAGAAATAAGTTAAAATTGGTCTTCTTCAAATGTTTAATCCAATGAAAATCAAATCATATAACTGAAAAACGATTTATGATTATTAAAAAATTATTATAACTTCATTAGATTTCGAGGTCCGATTGACCAAATAACATCTTTCAATTAATTAATCTTTATGTAAGGTATGGGTTGAGTAAAAACGTCATTGTCACGAGCGGGATTCGAACCCACGACCTTCGGCTAAATACGTCGCCGCTCTACCTCTTCAGCGCTTAGTGTCCGAGTGGATCGAAGTCACAGTAGGTTAAGTGGAATCCCCCTCGTGACACTGACTTTTTTGTCTCAATCTATACCTTACATAAAGATTAATTAATTGAAAGATTACTATAACTGTTATAAATCGTTACAATTATTTTTATTCAAAAGTAAATAATTAATTTTAGAATATATTTAAGTTTAATAAGAAATAAGTTAAAATTGCTCTTTTTGGAACGTTTATTCCAAACAAAATCAAATCATATAATTCAAAAAAGGATTAATGGTTATTAAAAAATGTTGTCAATCGTTACAGTTATTTTTATTCAAAAGTAAATAATTAATTTTAGTATATATGTAAGTTTAATTGAGAAGAGGGTTAAATTAACGAAACTCGTCCCCTCAGAGTGCAATAGGCGTTAGAATTCAAGGATGAATTTATCTCGTCTGACATTGACAAAATGTAGATGAGTTGTTGCTAAAATTTAACAATTCGCTTGATTAATAATTAGCTATGTCATAGGACTTTACCATGTACGCATTGTTCTAAGTAAACCATTTCTCGAACCGATCTGTAATTGTACCCTCCATTTTTCGTCTTGACTTTTGCTATTTCTTTTCGAATTTTTTCCTGAATATCCTCTTGTCGTGCTATTTCATTTAGCATTAAAACCATAATGTTGTAGATTTGTTCGAAACCTGCTGATAAGAATTGAAAAGCCTGGGCGGTCAACATTTCATCTGTTACCTCTGAAAAAATGCATTGATTAAAAAAAAACCTCTGACACGTATTTTAAACTCTATTTTTTATTTGTGTGTAGAAGTTGTGTTTTTGTAATTTTCGTTTAGTCCTGATCTTTTCTTAAACCTAGGAGTGATCATAAATGAACAGTACATATTTGAAAAACTAATCTCAGTAATACAAATTAATCTTTATTTAAGGTATTGGCTGAGATAAAAAAAATCAGTCACGAGCGGGATTCGAACCCACGACCTTTGGCTAAATACGCTGCTGCTCTACCACTTGTGCTATCGTGGTAGTGTCGGTTACACTAGCTTTTTTATTTCAACCAATACCTTACATAAAGATTAATGAATTGAAATAAGTTATTTGGTCAATCGGACCTCGAAGTATAATGGAATTAATAAACAGGTTAGATATGGTAATAGGAAGATATGCACTTTAAGGACTTACTTAAATGATTTGGTCTCAAGCGTTCGAAGTAGTGACTTCGTAGTAAGATTGGTATGTATAGATGATTTTCTTAGATAATATTCAGTGTTTGGTAGGGAAGGAAGTTGATATTTGTATAAGCATGTAGGTACGAATAAGTTATATGTTTAAAATGCAGGAAGTAGAGTATAGTTAGGTAGGTAGAAAATTTTTCTCTTAGTAAGTGATTGATTATAGGATGGCCGGTGAACAGACTTCGTGACGTTATCCTACATGTCACATTGAACTAAAAAGTTCCTATTGTCCAATATCTGATTCTCAATTGTATTCGAGATATTTCTCTTTCCAGGCATCCTCATCTTTTCACGATTCTATTCCATTAACATTGAAAATTCTGAGATTATTTTTTTTTCTTATTTAATTTTAAGCAAACAAAACACAAAAGCACTTAGAATAAAAACTTTTACGAGTTTCCAATGTTCTTGACAAAGTTTTAACAACGATTTTCCCAAAAATCTTTTGAAGAGACTGATAATATGGTTTTTGACGAAAAGTTTGCCCTTCTAACGAGCTGTAAATATGTGCATTTACTTTCGAAATAGTCAGTTATCACCAATGGAAATTTAACGTTTTATGGCAAAATACTTCATTTTATTTCACAAATCGTTAAAGAAAAGATTAATATTTTGCAACATCTATTAAAAAATAACGAGAATAATAAATTAAACGAAGATTCTTTAGTAGAAAACAGGAAAAAACAATGAATTTGATAGTAAAAAAATCTGTCAGTAAACACTGTTTTGCTTGCATTATTTAAGAAGGTGGACATTTTAAATATTTAATTTCTATCCAAAAATTAACAAACAGATTACTGGATACAAAATTGAGCATAAGAACAAACATAAAGGTATATAGCAGCAAAAACTGTCGGAAAACAATGTCAGACTTGCATTCATCAAGAAGATGAACATATTAAACATTTACTTTTATTTTTGTGATATTTTCTATCCCCAAATTAAAAAATAGATTACTGGATACAAAATTGAGCATAAGAACAAACATAAAGGTTGATAGCAGCAAAATCTGTCGGAAAACAATGTCAGACTTGCACTCTTCAAGAAGACGAACATATTAAACATTTAATTTGATATTTTGAAGCCTTTCTTTTTTGTTACAAAGTGACCAAAAAGACGCTTTAGTTCAAAATTGAACATAAGAAATACAAAACACTTAAGAGCAGTAATATCTGTCAAGAATCGATGTTTGGTATGCATTCTCGATGAGCAGGATTTTTTTTAAATATACAACTTAATGTAATGTATTGGTTGAAATAAAAAAGTCAGTGTCATGAGCGGGATTCGAACTTACGATTTTCGGCTAAATACCCCGCTGCTCTATCACTTGAGCTATCGTGACTTTGATCCACTTGGACACCAACTTCTCATCTCAACCTACCTTTCGAATTTTCCCTCCTTTTTGCCGTTTTTCAAATGTCGGGTAATCAGGAATGAAATGGCCACGGAGAGCTTTAGTGAAGATACACTTCGTTTTACTTATTAAACCCTTTTTTATTTCGTGGTCCGATTGGCCAAATAATTTCTTTCAATTAATTAATTTTTATGTAAGGTATTGGTTGAGATAAAAAAGTCAGTGTTACGAGCGGGATTCGAACCCACGACCTTCGGCTAAATACGTCGCTACTCTACCACTTGAGCTATCGTGACTTTTATCCACTGGGACAACAATACCTTACATAAAATGTAATTAATTGGAAGAAGTTATTTTTTCAATCGGACCACGAAATATAATGGAAACAATTTAACTTTTTTTATGTTGAGTTCTGATAACTGGCCAGGTACACGGGTCTATAATTCATTAAAAGGACCACATTTTCAACCAAAATCATGTCTGTAGTTACATAACAGTTTAACATTTTATGAGATACGATGGACTTGAATGAATAATAATTAAAGTTTAATTAACCGGAAAAATACAATTGAGAATTTGGACAATAGGGACTGTTTAGTACAATTTGGCATTTAGGATAACATCAAAAAGTACGGACGTCTGTTCAAGTGACTCCGTGTATAAGTATGATAAGTACACATAAATACAGATATATTTTTGTTCAAAACTAAATAGAATATTTACAAAGGAAAAAAATGCATCTAAGTACACGTGTATTGCTGTTTGTTGTCGGTAATAGTTAATTCTGTAAATTTAAGTTGTTTTCAGTGTTTTATGAATTCCGGTATTTAGTACGTTGATGATGACTACTGTATCGTGTATGTCAAGAACTTGGACAAATACAATTATGATAGAAGAAACATAGTGTGTTTAGTTTTTAACGTTTTTGTATGTTTTTATATAACACATTTGCAGTTTCATAAAAATATATTTTTCATTACCAACGTTTTCCACTTGCAGACTGTCTGTATTCAAATATTCATCGTCAGGGTCCTTCATTTTAACCTCAAGGCTTCCTTGTTCTTTTAACTTTAAAAGAAGATTTATGTAGTCATTTCGATTGGAGTTGTTCGCTTTTCTTTGCTCGAATGTTTGAGTAATTATATTTCTGAAAAACGCCTCTTTATTTTCGTCCAGTATTTTCATGTTTAGTACGTTAGACAGTACTGGAATTTGAGAGGCAACACCCATAATGAACATAATAATCGGTGATGTTTGGAAAAGTTCTGAGGCTTCTTTTATGTATTTCTCTCTTAGTTCTTTATTTTTGAGTTCGATTCCGAATATGACGGAAGCCGTCACGTCCATGGCGTATGTCATGATGTCGTCTCTGATGTCATAATCGGGCTTTCCGCATGTTTTTTCTATATTTTGAACCAAAGCGTTGCTGCACGGCTCCATCTCGACGAACATTGATTTCAGCTTCCCGGTCGTAAACGTTGGTGACATTTTTATTCGAAGCCCCCTCCATTCGCTACCCGTTAGACTGAACAGTCCCAAATTTACTATATCCCTGTCGGTTTTATATTCACTGTGATCAACGAAATGTTGGAAATCTTTTATCATAATTTTTTGCAAAAACTCCGCATCTCTGGTTAAAATTATAGGTCTTCTGAAAATATTCATGACGATGAATTTGTAGTTTGGGTACGCTTTGTGAAAGTTGTAGAAACCTCGGTGTATGGGCTCATTTTTCAATATCGGAAGAAGGACTGTAATAATGGATTCTACAGTGAGGCTGCCCACATTTCTTTCTCTCCAATAACGTTCGGTTTTTTTGAGGCAAACGTATAGATAAAAGAAAAAAGATAAGACGATCACCACCAAAGTACAGGTTATTGCCACCATGATTCTATAATCAACAAATCAAACCATTAGTACAAACAAATTTATAATTTTATAATTGTGTATTTTGTTTAAGATAATTTGTTACAAGCTTTAAAATTGGCAAAACTAGTAAACAATTTTTACTAGTTAGATACTATTTGACTTTTCTTAAACATAAAAAAATCAACTTTCATACTGGCACTAGTTTGTTATCGTTTTAAGGGCGAGGAGATCTTGGTGCCGTCGTCGTTCAAGGCGAAGTGGAGGGTTCTTGGGATTGGAGGTAGTGGACAGTAGACTTAGGATGGACTTAAAGATCGGAGTGACACTTGAGGAAGCGGGAACGGATCTATTACTTGGACGAAGGGAAATTTGTCATTGTGAGGTTAGAGACATAGTAAGAAGGACTGCGGATCTTTGATTTGAATGCTTTGCCTTTCAGCTCCGCTCTGTATGCCCAAATAAATTACTAAAGGGTTAGTTTGTTCTTTACCGTTATGTCTGATTTCAATCCTGCAAGTCTTCGAAGTTTTAGTTATTGTGGATTGAGCCTTGGAAGAAGATGCCTCGGCTGATTATTGTCTAAGAATAGTCCTAAATATTTAATTTGTTTATATGTCAGTAGTACTTTAGTCTTTACGTATTGACTTGGGCCAGACACCATTCTTCAATGAGTTCAAAGATGCTCCTGGATATTCGATGTGGCTTGGTAGGTAGTTAGAAGATCCCATTGCCCATTGTTAAAAATATATAAGCTTGCTGATTTGAAAATTACAAACTATATTCAAATATAAGTTTCTGAGACACCTATTCTTTCATAATTGGTAAAAGTCGTGAGGAGCGGTCAAGAATGAGGTAGTTTAGAAAAACACCTTTTTCATTTATTTGCCGACGTTTCGAACTTTATTCGGGTCATCTTCTGTGCTTAAAGTGTGGTGGTTTTTTTGTGGTGTCATATTGGTTTTGTGTATTGTGACAACACTTTCTCACAAAACCAATATCGCCCCACAAGAATAGGACCACACTTTATGCCCTGAAGTTGACCGGAATAAAGGTCGAAACTCCGGAAAAAAAATGAAAAAGTTCTACCTCATTATGACCTGATTAAAAAAATAATATTCAAATAAAAACGTGGATTATGCTAAAATCATATAAAGTCTTTTTTATGTTGCAACTTTAAATAAAATAAACGACCTTGACTTATCTAAAAAAATAATTATAATACTTCTACGTTTTTGGTAAAAATAAAAATTTCAAATAATGAAAGTGGTTATTGTAATGTTACGTATTCTAAACTAGATTCCCGAAATAATTTAACGATATTTTAAAATTATTAAAAAATTATGGGTTACTAGCAATAACATGGATGTATGTCGTATTTCATGCTTTGCCTTTATAAAAATTAAAAAAAATTAGTAATGGTTTTATCTCATACTTTAATAAGGAAATTCACGTTTCGAATAAGGACGTTCACATTATCGCAATTTATTTTTTAATGTGTTTCATTATACGTTATGTCACTAATTATTAATATCATCTAACACTTAATGAAATCACTTAATTATCAAAATCACGATTATAATCACTTAATATTAAACGGTATCGTTTATTTTGGATCTAAAAGGGCTTGTTTGATGATTTAATGTAGATTAATGATGCTAATATTTAACATAATTTTTGTTTTGGGCACTCTCAAGACGACACACAGTAATGACAATCTTCACAGAAAACAAACACTTTGAGCCCTGAAGATGATCTAGATAAAGATCGAAACGTTGGCACAATAACGAAAATGTTTTTCTAAACCCTCGTCACACCAGATATTTTTCTATTACACTTTAATTTCTTAAAATTTGACGGTGGCAGTAAAACTTTTACAAGTTTTTTACAAGTTGCCTTGTGCATGAAACAATTTTGTTATTACATTTTCCAGTAATTTGAACGTTATTTTAGTCGACTTAGGTAATCTCTCAGATGCCTGTAGATAATTCACCATCTTCAGAGTTTCTGTGTAATTTCTTCGAAGTCTAGTCTTTTTCATAAAGTTGTGAGTGGTGGGTTGCAAGTGTTTTGAAAACAGGATCTTATTTTAGAGACGGTAACAGTCATCAGAACAAAAGTAATGAATGTAAATTTAGTAAGGTGACTCTGTTTCTTTAAATTCGAAACTCGTTCTTTTTTCATTCTAGCCCATCATTATTAGTTACTTTACAATCCAAATGAAATATAAAACTTTGAGTGTAGCTGTGCTATCAAAATAACTTTTTTCGATTTCTTGTGGTATTATCAATGATAATTTAGGTTAGACGTATTAGACAAAATCTTGCACCATTATAACGTGAGACATAATTTTGAAGTATTTTAGAATAGTGATTACTCACAACTTGGCCTATAAGTTCAAATATTTCAGCGTTGTAATGAACTCAGTTGATAAAGGCTTTATATGAAATAATGTGCTTTTTAGCACTGAATAACCGACCTCCTGAACCAAAACTCGTAATTGCCTAAATTATTACCATGTGCGCCAATGAAACTATGTAGCTTTTCTTACGGCAAACTGACCCTTTTTAATTCTAAATTAACCCTTTTCAACTTCAAATTAACCGTTTTTTGTTAAATTAACATTTTTCAACTTTGAATGAACTTTTTTTCAAACTAACCGTTTTCTCAATCTTCTAAATGATGTAAGGCATGGTATGACATATAAACATGATTGGTGAAATTCTTGTATTTTCAATTTTTCAAATGTAGGCACATAAAGAATGGAAATTAATTTCAAATAAAATTAAACATAATATACAAATAAATGTAAAATCAAATTCACTATTTTTCGTGGTCCGCTTGACCAATTAATATCATTCAATTAATTAAGGTTTTCAGTTGAGATAGAAAAGTCAGTGTCACGAACGGGATTCGAACCCACGACCTTCGGGTCACGATTACTCAACTGGTAGAGTAGCGGCGTATCAAGCCGAAGGTCGCGGGTTCGATTCCCGCTCGTGACAATGACTTTTTTATTTCAACTAAAAACCTTAATTAATTGAATAATATCCAATGATTCTTCTATTAATTCAATATTTTTTTGGATATAAAATAATTATTTTTTTAATATCGTACGAAAATTAACTTGAGAAATGTATATAAATAAAATAGCTTATGAAATGCTTTAGTAATTGAATATTTTTTCAAATGTAGGAATTTTACTTTATTTACTGACATTTCATCTCCCAAGTTTTTTATTTATTTGGAAAAAGGGTTACATTAAAGTTCCAAATGGTAATTTTAAAGTTAAAAAGGGTTTATTTGTTGCAAAAATAGTGTTAAATCATAAATTGTTAATTTGAACTTAAAAATGAAATAAAAAATGGTTAATTTGTTGTTGTTGTTAATTGGTTAATGTTGATAAAAGTTGTAAGTTATGATTATTTGGTGATCGTGAGGTGCGGTCTAGTGTAACGTACGTTTTAGAAACATATTTTCTTTATCATGCCAACGTTTCGATCTTTATTGAGATCATCTTCAGCGCCTGGGATTTATAAACATTGTTTGAATTTTACAAATACGTGTAGGAAGTGGAGTGTCATTAATTAATTTTGTCTACTTACTTGGCTGAAACAAAACCCATATCCTTTTTAAAAAAATAGTTCCTACTCATAATAAGTTGTTTTGCAACGATCCGGATTTCGAGCTCTTTAGCTCATCATCAGGTTGAGGGATTTCCAAAACCACATCTCTCGACATGACTTGCAAAAGAGAACCCGCTGATACCACCGCCAACGCGACATTCATTTTAAATATGTACATAAATAATATTAATCGTCTAAATAATTAAATTAATTATTTTAATTGTTATTATTTTTGTAATAATTTAATAATATTAAAGCGTCATTTTGATTTTTTATCTTTTATCTTTAATAATTAATTTACAATTAATTTCTTCCAGTATTTATTATTAAAATAGTTATTTATGTTATAATTCCCGCTTTTCGCACGTTCAAATTGAGCGCCATTAAAAAACCAGCTTCTGATTGAAACGTCGCGTTGGTAGTGATCAGCGGGTTCACTTTTGCAATTCATGTCGAGAGACGTGATTGTAGAAATCCTTCAACCTGATGATGAGCTAAGGAGCTCGAAACCCGGATCGTTGCAAAACAAGATACTGTGTGAGTAGGGACTATCTTTTTAAAACTGATTAAACACCACACTCACTTCATCATTCATCATTTCTACAAAACCCATATGCTTATAATTCATTTCTTTCAAGAACTAACGTTAATTACTTAACATACATTTGATTTATTTAAATCTAAAAATCGGATTTATTCCACTGTTGTTATTGTTTCGGGACCAAATTACATTTTGGAGTTGTATTTGTATTGTTGAAAAAATTAACGGAACATCAGGGATAAAGGAAGGTTAAAGCAACGTGCTAAATTATACCGGTTCTGCAAATTTTACCGGTGAGTTTCGGCATTGTTTTAATCCCTTAAAAAAATAAAAATCACGATAGATTATTTGTTAAATTTTCCACCACTTCTAAGCATTTTTGTATATTTTTTTAAAATTCTGGTGATGATAGTGAGTCACATAAATCTCGCAAGTAGAATGTTTTTAAAATTTTAAATGAGAAAACCCCCCACCCCCCCAAAAAAAAACAAAAAAAAAACAGCAACATTGTTTTCACTGCAGGGATGTAACTAGGATGAGCCATTATGCTTAATTTTAAAGCATTCGAATATTTTGATGCAATATACTAATTTCATTTTAATCATCTTTATTGTTGTTAAATTTGTNCCATTGACTTTTTTATCTCAACTAAAAACCTTAATTAATAGTCAAAAAAACGTTTCAAATTGATATTAATTCACTTAAGATTTTATAATACTGCAAGATAATTAACAAGCCCCGGGTAACACAGTATTTTAACAACTTGCTTAATTCAATGGTTAATATAAAGTGTAACGTCACATTACCAAGATTAACCGGTATGGTTTCAAGTTACATGTAAACTTGGAGAAAAAAACTGCCCCATCGTTGATCGTTTGGAACTGGACTGCTTGTCACTGATCCAAATATAGGAACGGTCGATGGAAGGGATAAATTCAAGGACCACACTTCAGCTCAGAATCGTGCGGATTATGGAAAAAATATCAAACATTTAATTCAGGGCAACAAATTTTATGTATTTAATGTTTTTTTTGTCATTTGCTAACAAAAATATTCATAGTAACAGGAGCTAAACCATTAAAAATATAATGTCATAGCTTTCTGTTATTATTTCAATATTATCAAGCAGATGTCAGCCAACACCGATTTAATTTTGATACCGTTGTTTCATTAATTACCCAATTTTATCTCTAATAATTTTTAATAAATCTTCAAAATGTTTACTTCTCCCTTAGTAGTCGTATTCAAGAATCTTTTTAATCAAAGTTTTATATTTTTGAAATTATGCAATTTCATTCAAAATATTAATAATAAGGTGTTATTTTGTTTGATGGGTAATTTTTTTATTATTGTTAACACTTTTCTGTAGTGTAATGAACGTTTTTTATAATAATTTTTGTAAATTATTGACCTTATTAAACACTTCTAGCTTTAATTTTCTAAATATTTAAATCGTAAATATTATTTAAAAAAATTCTAAATAAACCTATAAGAAGATAATTATATGATTGAAAGATTAGAAGGTTTATCTCTCGTAAAACGATATTTATCATGGCTTATTTTATTTATCAATTTTACCCTATCATAACCGTCATATAGATTAAAAATTAGTCGTATCCAGCTAGCTTCATTATTATTATTATTATTATTTTTTTCTATTTGCCTTATGATCTTTGCATATTAGCCATGACGAATTCTTATATATGTTGTTCAAATTGGGTTATCGGGAAAAAAGGGCCAGAGGCGACGGTGGGAATCGAACCCACGACCGCGGCGTGAGAGTCTCTCATGCTAACCACTCGGCTACCGCGGTTCATCATTAGTCATCGTCAGTTTTCGCCATTAATATTATTCGCAATAATTAAGCCAGAACTTTCAAACCACATAGGCACTTAAACGTGTTACAAAAATAAAATCGTACAGCCATCCTAAAAGTCATAAATTAGTACAAATATTTACAAAAATATTTGTTATTTTTTGAAGTCTTGAGGAGCTGTCAAAGATGAGGTAGTTTAGAAAAACACCTTTTTAATTTTTTCGCCGACGTTTCAACCTTTATTCGGGTCATCTGCAGGGCCTGGGTAAATTATAAAACATATATTGATTAGAAAAAATACAATTTAAGATGGAAATATAAATTTTGAACTATGAATTTCATACTTACATAAAGTGAAGTGGTATTCTTGTGGTTTTGTGTGAAAGTGTTGTGAAACGTGAATTTGTGTTCTGCTGTTTTTATATGGCTGTAACACGATGGCAGAGGGGGTAAATTTTGGCAAATTTCATTGACCATAGGCGGTTTTATTTAACTCAAAGGAAGTCGAAACAAAATATTCGTTTTTTTTTCTGTGTGAATGAATTACAAATTAAACTCGTACAGGTAAATTATTTGGTATCAAATGAGGCATTGGTCTCTGGACTGCGGAGTCTGCGTCAAGACGGTATTTATTAGCGAAAATTGTGGAGCAAGACCTTCTTGATCTCAAAGGACATCGATCTAAAGGCCACGAAATTGTGAGATATTTGTTGTATGTTGGATTGGCTTGAATGAAAAAGAAATGAGAAACTTTTGTATTAAAGTAATGACAATAAATAATTTATTGTATTTGTCTATCACCGAGAAATATTAAGTACTCTATGGTAGTGTAATTGATGTCTAGTTTATGGATGTAATTTATTAGCGTGAATGGTGCTTTTACCGTAATTAACCCGTGGGATTTTGTGTAATCTGGCGCAGTATGAATGCTAATGAGACTACCTTGTTTCTAAATTTATTTATGTCATTATATGTGTAATGATTATGTGTTTGTTATAATATTTTTTACATTACATACTATATATATTTTTCCTTGACTGAGGAAGCCCTGACGTAGAGAGAAGATGGCAACGGTGTAGAGAAAGGGGAAAGTTTAAAACCTTAACACCCAAATTTAAATTAATTAATTGAAAAAGAAATTTAAATTTTGATGACAATTAGAATATTTTCGGATCACATTTCTATTTACTGATGAGTAGTTTTTTTGTTATTAAATTTTTATACACAGCATGGTTTAAAGCCATAATTTTTCTTCAGCCCATTCGAATTTTATTGTTTTACCTTCTTTCTAAGCTAAATTAATAATTATATAGTGAATCAATTGTTAAGAGCTTTAAATAAAACGCAAAATTCCATGTTAATTTGCGTTTTAAAATGTCAATTTAAAATCTAAACAGTTTCATAATGTGGCTATAAGGTGTCATAGTTGCAATGTGTATGCTTGGTAATGACCTTAATTTTTTTTTTATTTCTAAGAAATTGAACTTTTGGATTTATTAATCGCATAATTTTTCTTTAATAATTGTGCGTGTTTTACTTTGAGTAATTATTAACGCCTTTTAGGGGATTATAAAATGATACTGGACAATTTCTAATGTTCGCATGTAATGGTATAAATATTTTTGTTCATTTAGGTGATAGATATCTCTTTGTGTGTTTTTGGTAGAATGAATGTATTTATTGGCGCGAAAGTGAGTGTGTATGGGTTGTGCAGGAATATCGAGTACTCCACAGACCCACCGATTTAGGTTAGTATTAGGCTATAATATCTTTTAGAGTGAATGTGCGGAGGTACTGTTGTAATATTAAATGCGCCAGTGCCTCCGCATTTTTTAATTTGTAAATACAGAATGATTGGTTACTGTTTGAGTGAATGTATTTATTAGTGCGATAGTAGTGTATGTATGGGTGGGTCTATGGTGGAATATCAAGTACCACCTAGAATAATGTTTTAGATTAATTGTAATTTTAATTGTACATAATGTATGGATGTATTTATTAACGTGAACGAGGGCGGGTCTTCAGAGTAATATCGAGTACCCTGAAACCCGCATATAGGCTAGGCTAGGATTGAATGTTAGTGAATGAGATAGTGTCAGAGCCTTTTCACCACGGTGGGAGGGCTAAAAATGTAGAAATAACGTCCCAGAACACAACCAGAAAGATCGCCAGACTTCCTGCAGAAAAGCTCATTTAACAAAAAAAAAATTAAATAAAAAAAAAATTAAAAATAAATAAATTTATAAAACGTGAGATGGAAGAAATGTGAGGTGCCGGCAATAGCCCAGGCAGCTAGCCGGCCGGGGAAAAAAAATTTAGGTGATAAAAACATTTTATTTGAACTGTATCCTCGTAATTTCTTAATATTTGAACATATTAAAAATAAAGATTGCGTAGATCTAGGATTCAGCTTATTCAGCGTTCGTAATGAATTTGTTCAATTTATTGTCTGACATAGTGATTCATAAACATTATTATTAATTTATCCTTGATATGTTCCTTTGTAATTTTAGCCTTGCAGATGCGTTTCGGAATTTCGTTATATTAAATTATGCGTTTTTAATTATTTTGGCTATATCAAAGTTGTTCATTGACCTTTCGGAAGGCAGCGTGATTAGGTGGGTATTTTTAATACTATACTTAAAATAAAAACAAACGATATAAAATCCTATTGATTATTAGTTATTTCTAAATTTTTCACAGTAAGTTTTAAATTTCTGAATCTTTAATGGTGCTGCTAACTATCTAAAGTATATGTCCAAATTTAATCTACAAATTGGATAATAAGTAATATGTCATTATTAGTAATTTAATTAGATTACGACTGAGTGTTTTAAGGTTGTAATAGGCAGCTGGATGTGCGGTATTTTTTGATAAATTATTACGACAATTATGTCCGACGTATATTTGAGTTTACCGACAACGAACGTGATCCTGATTTTATTTTTGTTTGTTCACCATTCTTTTCCTGTAAGAGTGAATAGCCCCGAAGGCCCGGTTCGTGCTTAGATATAAACGACCCGGTCGGGAAAGTGCTGGAAATTCTAGAATAGAAATCTATCCGGCTTGAGAATGTCGGTGTTGGAATAGCCGACTAATTGTTCGGACGGAAACTCAAGACCAGGAATAATTCAGCCCTTAAGGTCACGAGCTAGATGAAGACTGACTGATGAGTTCAAGTGAGAGAGGTCAATTTTTATAACTGAGGAAAGATATTTCGTGTGATTAAATCAAGTTTTATTACATCGCATTTGTGTTTAGAGTGATGAGTTGTCAAAATTAAAGGAAAGCTTATAGTGTATTAATGTGAATATTTTACCAATGTCCGTTTTCTCACATACAAAACAGACGAAAAATGAAAACATTGCCAGATATTAAATGAATTACTATAATTCACAGTAATTCCTTTTCCAATCACCTCAGCAGGTCGATTTACATCGAAAAACTAAAACATTTTTTTGGTTTTTTGCATTTTTATCGAAAACTACGTGTCCTACGAGCCTAATTCCTTGTCATTCGCCTCAGAAGGTCGATTAACATCGAAAAAGTCAATAAAAATTTTTTCGTTTTTTTGTGTGTTTTTTGCGTATTTCTCTAAAATAGGTGTCCTACTAGCCTAATTCCTTTTCCAATCGACTCATCATGTCGATTTACAACGAAAACCACAATAAAAAATATCTACTTATTTAACCTAATTATTTAAACTTTAAATACTAGATTTTACATAGATAGATAGATAGATAGATAAATAGATAGATAGATAGAGAGATAGATAGATCGATCGATAGATAGATAGATAGATAGATAGATAGATAGAGATAGATATAGAGAGAGAGAATGAGAGTGAGAGAGGGAGTGAGTGAGTAAGTGAGTGAGAAACCGAAACCGAGAGAAAAAGAAAGCCAGAGAAAAATAAGGCCAGATAGGGAGAGAGAAAGAGAGTGATAAAGAAAGAGGGAGGAAAAAAGAGCAAAAGATAAAGAAAGAGAGGCGTGAGAGGGGGATAGCAACAGAGAGAAAAACGATAGAGGGGTAATAAAGAAAGGGAAGAGAAAACAACATTGAGAGAAAGCAGAGAGAGA